TAAACAATTAAAATATTTGTTTAAAAGAAAAATAAACGCTGAAAAGTCTTCTTTTTCTGCTCTTCTTCTCGGCGCTAGCGCTCGCCTACTCTTTGACTGCGCTGCTGCGCTGTACTCTTTTTTTCTTTTTATATATATCTTTCTCGTTATCTTCTTCTGATTTTATAATATTTGTGCAGCTTTAAAACAAATTTTAGACTTTATTTAAGTGCTGCTCAACAGCAAATGCTGTGGGAGGTGTCTATGCAGCTCGGGCGCTGCTGCTGCCTTCGTTCCCTCGAGTAGGCATCTCCTGCTGCTGCTCCTGCTCCTGCTGCTGCTGCTGCTGCTGCACTTAATGAGCCGTCTGTACACCAGAAAGCTTTCATGAGTGTCTTCTTGCTGCATGCAGCAGACCCTTCGTGCAGCAAGAGAAGCTGTCTCCTACTTGGGCTGCGTCTCCTGCTGCTGCTGCTGTTGTTGTTGCTGCTGCTGCACCCTATGCAACACGCGTGACTGGTGCTGCTGCTCATAGACTGGTAGCAGCAGCAGCAGCAGCAGCAGTAGCTGCTGCAGCACACGCAGCAACAGCAGCAGCAGCAGCTGCTGCTGGAGGGTAAGGCACACACGCAAAGTTTCAAAGGCAGATGGTTACCACTAGCCCTACAGAAGCAGCAGCAGCAGCAGCAGCTGCTGCTGCTGCTGCTGCTGAGAGTGGTGGTGGTGAAGCTGCTCCTGCAGCAGCTGCTGCAGCTGCTGCTGACAGCTGCTCGCCAGGGGAAGATTCCGCAACACGAGCAGCAGCAGCATCGCCCAACAACAGCAGCAGCAGCACCAACAGCAGCAGCAACAGCAGCAACAACAACAGCAGCAAGAAGTCGGGGAAGCGGCAGCAGCGCGGCAGTTTGTCTGCAGCGCCGACATCAGAGGAGACAGTGAGGAGACACTCCGAGGAGACAACAGAGGCACCCTCTTTACAGGAGCAGGAGCAGGAGCAGCAGCAGCAGCAGCAGCCGATGCAGCAGCAGAAGCAAAGTAAAAGGAGACGCCGCAAGAGTGCTGCTGCCTCCAAGCAGACAAACGCTGCTGCTGCGGCACCTGCGAATGCAGCAGCAGCAGCAACAGAGCCTGCAGCAGCAGCAACAGAGCCTGCAGCAGCAGCAACAGAGCCTGCAGCAACAGCAACAGAACCTGCAGCAGCAGCAACAGAGCCTGCAGCAGCAGCAACAGAGCCTGCAGCAGCAGCAACAGCACCTGCAGCAGCAGCAACAGAACCTGCAGCAGCAGCAACAAAACCTCTAGTAGCAGCAACAGCACCTGCTGCAGCAGCAACAGAACCTGCAGCAGCAGCAACAGAGCCTTCAGCAGCAACAACAGCGCCTGCAGCAGGAGATCGTGAAGCAGTAGCGACCGAACCTGCAGCAGCAGCAGCAGCAGGACCGCCTGCAGCAACAGCAGAACCTCCTGCTGCAGCAGCAGCAGCAGCAGAAACAGCAGAGCCTGCAGCAGCAACAGAACAGCAATGTGTAGCAGCAGCAGCAGCAACACCTGCAGCAGCTCCAGCAGGAGTGCTGCTGAAAGTTGTGGTGCAGGGAGATAGAGAGGCTGTTGAGTCATCCCCTCACGTTTCTGCAGCAGCAGCAGCAGCAGCAGCAGCAGATGTCGCTTTAGGTGATGCAGCAGGAGCAGCAGCACCAGTATCTGGGTGTGTAGAGCTGAGCATCTGCAGCAGCAGTTCTGTTGCTGCTGCTTCAGCTGCTGCAGCAGTACCAGCAGGATCCGAAGCAGCAGGCGAAGCAGGAGAAGCAGCAGGAGGAGGAAAAGGAGCAGCAGCAGCAGCAGCAGCACCTGCTTCTTGCTGCAGCGGGGTGTATCTGGTGTTTTGTTTATTTTTAGCGCTGCAGTTATTTATTAACTTTGACTCCGGAGTAGTCCCTGCAATTCTCTCAACGCTAAAGTCCGAATTTGCTCTAGACGGCACCACAGAAGGTAATTCTGCTGCTGCTGCTGCTGCTGCTGCTGCTGCTGGTTGTGCTGCTGGTGTTGCTGCTGCTGTTGCTGCTGTGGTTGCTGGCTGTGCTGCTGGTGTTGGTGGTGTTGCTGTTGCTGTGCTGGTTTGCTTTTGCTGCTGCTGCTGCTCGTGTTGTTGCTCTCGTTCTGTTTCTGAGGTTGCTGCTGCTGCTGCTGCTCTTGCTGCTCTTGCTGCTGCTGCTGCTGCTGCAGGTTTGCTGGGTGCTCTTCCTTATGTGGGTCTGGGGGTTAGCAGCCCTTTTGTAGGAAGGGGTCTGACGAATTTTTCGCCGAAGTACTTCTGTCTCCTCACGCTGCTTTTTAATTGTCTCTCTACTCTTCTTTTTAGCGCTGCGAGAGACAGATGGTAGGCCCTCAGAAGCAAACGCTGTCTCTCTATCTGTCTCTTCATCTGTCTCTTTATCTGTCTCTCCTTATCTGTCTCTTTATCTGTCTCTTTATCTGTCTCTTTATCTGTCTCTCTTTGTCTGTCTCTGTATCTCTCTCTTTGTCTGTCTCTCTCTATCTGTCTTTATCTGTCTCTCTGTATCTGTCTCTCTTTATCTGTCTCTCTTTGTCTTGTCTCTCTTCATCTGTCTCTCTTTGTCTGTCTCTCTTTATCTGTCTCTCTTTATCTGTCTCTTTTTATCTGTCTCTCTTTGTCTTTATCTGTCTCCTTCTTATTTTATCTTTCTTTATATCTTTATCTGTTTATTTTTATCTGTTCATTTGTCTGTCTGTCTTTGTTTATTTATTTATTTATCTTCACTCTGTCTCTTTATTTGTTTATTTCTTTATCTGTCTCTTTATTTTAATAAGCTGTCTCTTCTGCTGTTATTCTTTTATTATTTCTTTATTACTATTTAATTATTTTTATTTATTTATTTATTTATTTATTTATTTATTTATTTATTTATTTATTATTTGTTTATAGGGTTTTATTTACTTCTCGTTTTATGATGGGTTTATCTCAATCCAGCCTAACTATTTATTTTCCTGTCTGGGTCGATCACTTCGCACCTCCGCACTTTTTAACTCTTTGGCTTGGCTTAGCGCAAGGCGCAGTTGTTGTAGGGACAGTAGTAAGTTTGCTGCTGCTTATTAAACAAATAAACTGTCTGTCTCCTGCTGCTGCTCCTGCTGCTGCTGTTGCTGATCATGCTGATGCTGATAGGGATGCTGCTGCTGCTGATGCTGATGCTGATGGGGCTGTTGCTGCTGCTGCTGCAGCTGCAGGATGAAGCGGTGCTGCTGCAGTTGCTGCTTCTGCTGCTGATGTTTCTTATGCGGGGGAGGGGGACGGGGGTCGCTAGAAGCAGCAGCAACAGCAGCAGCAGCAGCAGCAGCAGCATAACGATCAGCAGCAAATTTGCATGATGGTTTGTCAACATGCACATTTGTAGCATCAATATGTTTGCTGTGTTGCTGCTGCTGCTGTTGCTGTTGCTGCAGTTAGGGTGCGTTACAGCCGGCGTATTTAATGCTGCTCGACGCTCCGGCTTTGTTTTCTTAGATTGGAGATTGGCTCTGCTGCTGCAGCTGGGTGGTTTGCTGCTGCTGGTGATTGTGTGGGGCGTGACGCCTAGGGAGCTGCTGGAGATTGATCTGAGTGCTGCTGCTGCTGCTCCTTCATCAGCAGCAGAAGCAGCTCCTGCTGCTGTTTGCTGCACTGAAGCGGAGGAGACAGTACGTGTCTCTTCTTGCAGCCTCACAGACACAGAGACAGATACAGAGACAGCAGCAGGCAAAGGAAGCCAAGCAACGCTTCACTCGAATCGCTCTTCGACCTGCAAACAGCAGCAGCAGCAGCAGCAGCAGCAGCAGGAGGGGGCTTCAACCGCTGCTGCAGCAAGCCGCAGCCGCAGCAGCCTCAGCAGCACCTTGCTGCCAGCTTCGTTTCGATGTTCTTTGCTGTATAAAAACAGCGCAAAGGATAAACAAAAAGCAAAAGACGAAAACAAACAAGAAGAAGGAGCTTCACTCCCATGTCAACAGACGACACAACATAATGCAGGTAAAACACAAATAAAATAATTTTTATTGTTTTTCTTCTCTTAACAGCAGAAGAAGGCACAGACAATGCATGCGTGCATGCATGTATGTTGCTGCTTCTGCTGCTGCTGCTGCAGCTGTTGCTGCTGCTGCTGTTGCAGCTTTTGTGCCGTTTCTGTATCTTTTGCTGCTGCATCTTCTGCTGCTGCAGCTTCTGCTTCTGCTGCTACTGCTGGTAGTGCCTTCACATATTATTATTATTATTATTATTATTATTATTATTATTATTATTAAATTATGTTATCTTCTTTTTAATTTGTTGCAGATCTCCCGGAGTACCTTAAAGACCCTCTTTCAAACTTCCTTCCTCTTGACTTCTTCGCATCAAGCGCACAGCAACGTCGGCTGTCTAGACACCCCACAACTATGACAGCCCCGGGCCCTCGTCTGCTGCAGCACCCTCGCCACAGCGCCTTTGCTGCACCAGACAGCAGCAGACAGCTGCGGGGGCTAGTCCCCCTAGGGGCCCCCAGGTGCCCCGGGGGGGGCCCCCAGGGGGGCCCCCAAGGGGCCCCCGAAGGGGGGCCCCCTCGTTGGGCAGCAAGGGCTCGATCTGCTGTTGAAGTGAGGGATGCGCGGTGGGGGAGGTTAGGGGGTATTGCTTCATTGACAGGGTGGGGTGCTGGTGCTGCAGCAGGTGCTGCAGCAGATGGAGAAGGTTGTGCTGCTGATGGTGGAGCGATAGCAGCAGGTGCTGCTGGTGCAAGCGGTACTGGAGATGTAGGAGAAGGGGCTGAGGCTGCTGCTGCTGAGGCTCAGGAGAGGCTTGAGCTTCAGCTGCAGCAGCTGCAGCAGCAGCAGCAGCCTTTCCTATATCAAAGGACCTTCTTAACCCCACACCCAACCACTCTGGCCTTTGAAGCCCTCAACTGGGCATCAGGGGCCCTCGACCCAATGGTCTTAGTGCAGGGGGACGCTCGCCAGCAGCAGCAGCAGCAGCAGCAGCAGCGGACGCAGCA